GGGGGGGGCAGCGGGCAGCCTGGCACCCCCCGCCCACCCCGCGCCCAGGTTGTCCTCGTCGCTGGAGTCCTGGCAGCAGTGCTCCGTGGGGTCCACGTAGAGCACGGTCACGTCCAGGATCCCACTGGGGCCTGTCACTGCCGGGGGGGAAAGGGAGAGCAGCGTTCACTGGGGCAGCACCAGGTGACACCCAGCAACATCCAGCAGCAGCAAAAGCAGACCCCAGCCAGAGCGTAAACCTCACGGCTGCCTGCACGTGGAGGGGACAGCACCAAGTTCAGCCTCATTGAAAACAGTAACTTCTCCCCTCGGACCTTTTGGGTAGGTTCTAAGAGCTGTTCAGAAAGTCAACAGCCAGTCCCAGAGCCAGCACAATGTTCCTGACTGGGCCGTGCATCCTGTTCACTCCAGGGCCAGAAGACTCTGGAAAGGGTCTCACTTGGATACACTTAGCAGCTACAAACCCCCTCATCACAGAATCATTCAGGTTGGAAAGGATCTCTGAGATCATCCGGTCCAACCATCAACCCAACACTCCCATGACAACCAAACCACGTCCCCAAGTGCCACGTCCACATGTTTTTTAAACCCCCTCCAGGCGTGGTGACTCCAGCACCTCCCTGGGCAGCCTGGGCCAATCCCTCACCACTCTGCCAGGGAAGAAATTCACCCTCATATCCCATCGAAACCTCTCCTGGGGCAGCTTCAGCCCATTGCCTCTCATCCTATCACTGGTTACCTGGGAGAAGAGACCAACCCCCACCTCACCCCAACCTCCTGGCAGGTGGTTGCAGAGAGGATGTTCTGAAGCAGTGCAGAGGAAGAGAACAGATCTATACCTCTAAAAGAGTTTAACAGTTTTAACCACTGGGGAAGGGGGAAGAGTTATTCCAGCTGGTCTTCAGCTGAAAGTTCAGGCTTCAGTTGCCTGAGAACCAGTTTTAAGCAGAGATAAGAAGACAGTTTCAATTCCCTTGTCTTCTTTTTATACAGAGAATAAAGCCCTTACCATCTCCTTCTCTCTCGCCTTCACTTTCCTGATCACCTTCATAACCAGAGCAGGTATCTAGACTCCAGTCTAAGAAGTTATCTAGAAGACTTTCTTCCTGGGTGGATAGTTCTGCTGTGGGTGTAGTCACAAAGCTGCCTCTGTCATCCTGGATGCTGTCTTCCCTCCTCCTGCAGCCAGAAAATCCACAAGTCCCATTAAGAGCCAGGGCTTCTTTTCTGGCTCTTTTAATAGGTATGTCAAGGTAATTATAGAAAAATTGAATATATTGGAAATATTATGGAAATTATCACGGAATATATTGGAATATTATGGAAAATTTTCATACTGAAATATGAAACTATGAAACCTCAGGATAGCAGAGAGGAGGAAGGGCTTCAGCTCCATTTACAGCACTGAGTTATACTGGCCTTTTAGTTCTCTTTCCACAGGGGGAGCTAAGGAAAGTCTGAATTTCCACCACGTTCTTGTGCAAGGGGCTGGGCCCCGGGTCCTCCTGTTTCACACCCAACAATGAACAGAGCTGGCTGTAACTCATCATCTGAAAAACCAGAGACAGTAAGAATTAGACCACGAGATTCCCAGAAGGAATAAACATCCAGAAGGGGGTTATTTATTTTCTAGGAGAAATATATCCCAACAAGTTCTTCCCACAGGCACTCAGAGCAGGTACAGTCCCCACAGATGACATTTAAAACCACCACTTTCCACATTCTTTCCTCCAGAGGCCTAAAGCTGGAACCCAGTGCCCATTACTGGCAGTTTACTACCCCTGCCATGCAGTAGCATTGCTCTGGGTGTCAGACATGAGCCAATAAAGACAGAGCTCAACCCACCTTTTCTTTGCCTATTTCTTCATAGCGCTCGTCTTCGAATCGCTGTTTCACTGCAGTCAGGGACACCTGCCTGTAGTCCTTTGGGACATCACCATGGAAACTGGAAAGAGAGATTAAATCCCCAATCTTAGAATGGATTATGTGATACCCTGTGAACAAAACCAGCCAGTTTAAGTACTTTCCCCTCTGTCCTTCTCAGCTCTGTGCTCAGGAGGTTGGTGTTCTATCAGGCAAGCAGCTAGCCAGGTCACCTGGGTTCTAAGGTAGGAGCATCTAGTTACATCAGGGAACAGAAAAGGCAACAAGGTATTTGCCTGGTACTTTTTAAAACATGAGCTACTTTTGCTGCTGGAATTCCTTCCTGAAGCACACCACTAAGCCAGCTGCAGTCTTCTGAGACTAGTGCTGTTTGGGAAGCTGAGAGCTGTTAAGCCTTGAGGAGCATCACGTTCTCTGTGACCCAGGGAACCCACCAGTTGGGAGAGACAGGGAGAGCTGTCCCTGAACTGCTGCCTAGACCATAGTGCCTTGTGGGAGGGGAGCAAGGCAGTTTCCCAGAGCCACCTTCTTCATCAGGAAAGGCTGACTACAAATGTCTGCAAGAGCTGGGATCCAAGTGCCCATGTGCCCTCCCAAGAGAGTTCCAAAACTATTACCACTTTTGGTAGAGGCTCAGCACACAGGGCAACAGATCTTCAAGAGAGAAACCAGTGCACTCAGCCAGCTGGCTGGTCCAGGGGTGTGCTGGAAAAGAATAACAAATACCATTTCACAAAACTTGGTGGTTCTGCAATCTGGTTTTATTTTTTTTTTTTAATGGGCTGAAGATCAATCTTTACAAGCTTACACCCATACATAGCTTGTTCAAGATCACAATTAGCTGCAGGAGCAGGTTTACCTGCCCAGCTGAAGATATAGATAGGTACAGAAATCTTCAGTCTTGGTTAAACACAACACTTGCATAGTCTGATGTTAATCATCCTGTTCATCATTGCTGTTATGAGGTAAAATACCCTGACCTCAACTCTTCATTCCAAAGTCTTCTAGCTGTCCCCCTGTCCTCAGCCCTGGTGAGGCCACACCTTGAATCCTGGGTTCAGGATTGGGCCTCTCACTCCAAGAAGGACCTTGAGGGGCTGGAGCGTGGCCAGAGAAGGGCAACGAAGCTGGGGAAGGGTCCAGAGCCCAAGTGTGGGGAGGAGCAGCTGAGGGAGCTGGGGGTGCTGAGCCTGGAGCAAAGGAGGCTCAGGGGAGACCTTCTGGCTCTGCACAGCTCCTGACAGGAGCCTGGAGCCAGGGGGGGGTCGGGCTCTGCTCCCAAGAAACAAGGGACAGGATGAGAGGAAACAGCCTCAAGTGGCCCCAGGGGAGGTTGAGGTTGGACATGGGGAAAAATGTCTTCCCAAAATGATTGTCCAGGGCTGTGCCAGGCTGCCCAGGGCAGTGGTGGAGTCCCCATCCCTGGAGGGGTTTCCAAGCTGTGGAGATGTGGTGCTGAGGGCCATGGCTCAGTGGGGACCTGGCAGTGCTGGGTTAACAGCTGGACTTAATGTTAAGACCTGATGATCTTAAAATGTCCATTCCAACCAAACCAATTCTATGACTCTTCTCTGCTCCCCCAGCCAAGTGAATGAGACATTTTGGTTTTAGACTAAGTAATACCAAACACCAAACACCCCAAAGGCTCCCTAAAAAGGCCAGGCAGCCTGCCACAGCACGCTGCAGCTCCACCTAAGGTGGGGTTCCTCACCTTGCCTGTGCAGGATCTTGGCCAGCAGCAGCGCCGCGGCAGCCAGCCGAGCTGGGGAGTACACACACAGGCTCGTGTTCAGGAGTGACAGTTCACAGATGAAGCTGTAGAGGTGAAGAGTTCTTCTCTCCAGAGAGGTGACATTTGACAAGACTTCTTTGTAGTCCACAACGGTAGGCATCTAGTGCAGAGAACAGGTTGCAAATACAAGATGAGTAGCAAGTATTAAAGGATTTTCCAACCTCGATCGGTCTGTGGTATTTAGAACAGTCATTCCCAGGAGATGCTGTTTTCATCACATTAGGGGGTTAACTGTTACAATGACACTGAAACATTCTCCTGTGAAAGAATAATTGGCTTCTTAAAACTTCAGTTTTAATCTCTATGGAAAGGCAGAGGTTTTGTATCTGCATGCTCTGAAACATGGATGGTCTCCATAGCTGGTTGAGAACCCTCCCATGCAACCCCAACAGCTTCAGTAAGAAGTGCTTATTACAACAACCTGACTTCCTTAGCAGCCCAAGGGCTGAAATATTCCACCTGCTTTCCAAACTCACCCTTATTTTTCCTTCTAGGGCAGAAATGATCTCACCCATCATTCTGACCAAGTCTTCATACTTGTAGGTGTTGTCTGTTAGCCACACAGCTTCCCGTATTGTCAGGATCTCTTTGCTGATGAAACTGCAATCAAATAATCACAGTTAGCCCCAGAAGAACAGGAACTTGTGCACGTGTCCACTAAGGTTTTGGAGGCAGATAAAAGCACCCAAGATGATTAAAAGAGTTAAGCAACTTCATAAGGTACTTTCCCAGGTACACAGAGAGAATAAACAACAGCAGCTCTTCATTCATTTCACTTTTAAGCTGGAACCACCTATTAGAATGTTCCTGATGCCCCATTTGTGAAACCTCCTCTAAGTTAAGATGCAAAATACTAAGGAAGCCACCACAGAACAATGATTTTTTCCACCACACCATGTGGTTCACCTGATCGTAACAGAATAAACTAGGAACAGCACCACCACAGCTGTTCCTTACAGGGCTAACTCTCCCCCGTGTGGCATGACAGGTTTCAGTTGGTGCTGGAATGCATTTAGATCAACTATGGAGTTTTTTCAGATTTAAGAACATTCAGGGAATCACATTTTGCATCTCATTTGCAGGGACTGTGTGTGTGTGTGTATGTGAACACAGCTCAAGCCGCAGTCAGCGTAGGGGGAAGCCAAAGATTCTTTCCATCATTATTATGAGCAAGAGGGGGGGAGGAAAAAAACCCCTTGAGCTTCAGAGATGGATCTGAATGATAACAATAACCAGCTCTGCTCACCAGTCAGAGGTCCTACCGTGTGCAGATGACCATGCAGGCTATTCCCAGGAGCTGCAGGCGAGCCCGGGGCACAGGTCTCAGCTTCAAGTAACGGTCCACGCAGCCCACTGTCATGTGAAGGCACAGGCTGGAGAAGTCCTTCATGGTAGCCACTTCTACCAGCCAGTCAATCAGGATGTACCTAGGCAGGAAAGAGACAACACCTATGCAGTCAGAAGCTGTTCAAACCTGTGCTAAACGTCTACTCCAAGTCCTTTCTCCACTCACAAGTTCCCAGCCAAGAAATTTCATCAAAAGAATTTTCAGAAAAGTGACACATTGCACAGAGAGAAGGATTTGCCACCAGAAGTCTGTTGTTCTGGGAAGGGTCAACAGTCTTCCTAATTTCTCTGTGAAATGGAATTAGAAACTATCCTATAATAAGCACTCCTCACACAAGGAAGAGTAGGGAATATCAAATTGGAGGCTAGAGGCCACCTAAGATAACTAGAGACCAACCAAGATAACAAGACTCTAACAAGTCTTGACAAATGCAAGAACTGAACGTCCAGGAAAACCCTCACATCTCCTTTCACTTCTTCATCAGGGTTTGAAATAAGGGCTCTGACACCTCTGAGGTGTTGTGTTTCTCTCCTCACACATAATCCATCACAGAAGAGCAAAGTGAAACCCACCATCTTCCAACAGACCTCATTCTGGGTTGGTTTCCCTCTCCACATGTAAGCAGGCAATGGTTTCTGCTGTGGGGCCTGACTCCCAGAGCTGGGTTTTTACCTCATTGTTTCATTCATTCCTTTCTGCACAGTGAAGATACTTTGCTTCCTGATGGGAAGGGAAGCTTGAAAGATTTGAGACACTGTTTCACTGGAAGATTTGGCTTCTAATCCTAGTTGGTTTCCATTCCCACAAGCTTTGGCTAAAGCTATCTGTAGCAGAGAGAACACAAAAGAAGGCTGGTTTGTTTTTTTACCAAACACAAACTAAGGCAGTCCAGGATGGTCCTTTTTTCCTGCTGAAAACAGAGTAAATGTGACAAAATACTTCAGTCAGGTGTTCTCAGCTTGTCCTCACCATTGAACACACACACACACACACACACACGTTAGTTATTTGGGGCAGGCTTTTAAGTCCATCAAAAAATGCCTCTTTACTCAGGCTGTACCACAGATGTGAGCTACTTTCCAAAAGAGAAGGACTCACAGAGTAAATACCCACATCACACGTTGATATTATTCAGCAATTTTGAGCCTGCTTCTAAAGTGAGGGGTCAGGCCTATGATGGCAGCATTGAAAAGACCAAATTCAGACTTTTCCCAGGAGAACAGCCAATCTTACCTGTGCTTCCCAGCAGCCCTTTGCTGCATAGTCTCGTAGCTTCCTGAGACTTTGGAGGTATCTGCCAGGGTCTGACATCTACAGAGAGGAACAGAAACAGGTTTCAAAATCCATTATTTGTACATCAAACAGAAGGACTGTAGTACTAATATCCAGAGAAAAACCACTGCCTGTGGGTCCATCTGTTATTTCAGCAACCAAGCCATTTCTCATCACCACAACAAAGTTGGTTTTAAGGAGCTTTCTTCAGTTCTTGCCCGAGGTCTCAAAGGAAATGAGTCAGGTCACCTGGGAGTCCAAGAGCAGAGCCTGGGCAGATTTATTACTGACAACACCAGCAGCCTCCCACTCCTGCTCCTGCAGGATCACTAGCCAGCAAGGCCTGTGCCCTCAGCAGGGCCAGCATAAAGGAACTTCTGCCTGCACCTCAGCTACAGCTGCCTGCAGACTCACTTCAAACACCAGGGCAGGCACCAAAGCTCCTCTGAAAGAGTTCTTGGTGCTCTCCATGTTTATGAAGCTCTGAGGAACAGCAGTTTGTGTTCACTCACTGCACCCAACAGAGGTCCAGAAGTTACAGTGAAGTTGTTTTGAGACAAAAAAACCTGCTACTTACAGCAGCCTTTCTGTTACTTTCCCAAAGGAGGTAGGAGCTGTTTAAACAACCCTGCTTTGAAGATTCTTCAAGCATTTCAAGCGATTCTTTTCTTTTTTCTTCATCCTAAGAACAAAAAACATGACAGTAGTTTTGCTGCCCAGCCAGCCAGATGCCAGATCTCAGTACTTCAGAATCAGCCAGTTGTGAGTGCCCTGCAGAGGCAATTCCCCAGCCACCCAGTGCTGCCCTTTGAAGATCCAGGCTCAAAAAGCAGCTAATAGTTTTCCTCAGCTTGACAAGAGCTTTCTGGCTCACTTGCCACTGAAGGTTTGGGTTTTTTTGGTATGCTTTACAACTGGAAGGCTTCCATTGAGACATGAACACACCCCAATTAATTTCACTGTTTGTAAAATTCAATAAACCAAGTTAATAATGTGCCTTTAATCAACAAGTAAATTAAACTCATGAGAACAGAAACTCCTAGGCCACTCGAGGAAACTGAGCATTTGGCTGTTTGTTTGTTTGTTTAATTAATTCAAGGTAAACAGCTTCAAAAGAAAAATCATCAAAAAAGGCCCCAAACACACCAAATCAGGAACAGTGCTCACCTCAAAGAGACTCAAGACCTTAGCCAAGCAGTGTAGAATAGATCCTTTCTGAGCCTGAAGAAAGCATTAAGATAAAGCATTGTTAATGACAGACAAAGAGCAGCAATTTTTGCTGCCAACTCCAGACTACAATTTTGTTTGCCTTTCAATCATTCCTCCCCTTGTTTTTCTCAATATTATCTTTGAGACAATGCTGAATCTCTCAGAAGAGACAGGACCAGCCTCTGGCACTCATCAGATACCAAGTTTGGGAATAAATTCATTAAAATGATTGATCCACAGCCATTGAAGCAGTGAGATTATAGCAGCTCCTTGGGGAAATAAAAGTCTTTTTTTCCTCCAAAATAACTCGATGCAGCTACCAGCCTCTGCTGAAGTCAAGGGCAGAACAAAATCTTACTTTCTCCAGCTGACACTCTGCTTTGAGGCTCTCATAGACCACAGCTTTACAACAGCTGCCACTCAGGGACCAGGGAGGACGGATGAAGAGCCAGATGAAGGGGGCTGCAGCCGCGTTCAGCCGCTCCGCCAGGCTGAAGAAGTGAGATGCCTTCAGTCCATTCACCTCTGCACGGCCCTCCTCTGAGATGGACACTGAACAGCAACAAAGCCAGAAATGATGGGGGGTTCATTCACAACGTGTGCTCAGCAGTTAGGTCAAGACAGACCCTAGGGTACAACTGGGAAAAGGTGGAACGGTGTCTGCCCTTTAGAGTCTTAAAAATCATGGAGATGGCAAAAGAAGAAAAAAATCTTACTGCAATTAGTCTTTAGGAACATGAAACACTAAACTGGGGGGTGGTGGTGGGTGTTCTGCAAGTGCCAGTACTCAAAGCAACATCAATTCCTGTCTGTGTTAAACCAATGGGCAGGTAAGTCACCTGCCCTGCCCTCTGCAAGGAGGCTCCTCCTGTCCATCGTCACTCCCTGTAGTTACATCCCTCACGTGAGGTAATTAGCCAAGTCTCATCAGAATCCCAGCACAGAGAGGGCTGGAAGGGACCTCTGGAGATTACCTCATCCAACCCCCCTGCTCCAGCAGCTCACCCACAGCAGGGTGCCCAGGGTCACAGCCAGGAGGGTTTGGGATCTCTCCAGAGCAGGAGACTCCACAGCCTCTCTGGGCAGCTGCTCCAGGCTCTGCCCCCTCACCCCAAAGAAGTTTCTCCTCCTGCTCAGGTGGCACCTCCTGGGTTCCAGTTGGTGCCCGTTGCCCCTTGTCCTGTCACTGAGTACCACTGACCAGGGCCTGACCAGAAGTTTAAAATAACTTCTAAACACAAACTCATAAGCTACACATTGATGACTTCTCTGAAAGAGCTGAGCTCTACACTATGATTTAACACCCAGGAATTTGGTGCCTGGTGCTCAAGCTGCACCAAAAGGTGAAGCACCCCTCTCAGGAGGCCTCAGCACCCACTGAAGGCAGTGAGCTGGCTCTGCACTTCCCTGCTCTAGGACCCAGGTACAAAAGTATCAGTGTTTGAGATACAGGAGAAACAACTTTCTAAGTGTAACCTCCCCTCAGACCCCAGGAGAAGCTCCCCCACTTACAGCCTTCGTTGTACAGGTATGCTATCCCCAGCTTCACAGCAGCTTCAAAGTTACCCCTTTCAGCAGCCCTGAGTGGGAAACACAGGAAAAAACCTTGAGGTTGAAATTAGGAGGTGCTTCCAGGCCCACATCCTCAAACTAGCTACACTTCAGGACAGGCCTGGCTGTGAATTGGGTCATCACCAGCCCACAAACCTATGCACCTTCACTTCAGAAGTTACACATCAGTTTCACTGTAGCTTTTATTGCAACAACCTTTTTGCAGGCCAGGGACCAGGAGGATTTGACAATTCATAGGAACTGTTCCCCTTTCCCATTCAACACCCCCAGAACGTGCCACCACGTTTTGGTACTTGTACCATCAGGGACAAGCATCTTAGACATGCAACCAACAATTCTTCACACTAAGATCCCCCATTTACAGAGAGGACTGACTAGAATTGTGTACCTGCCTTCAAACATCCTCTTCTAGGAGGTCAGACAGATTCAGTTCTTTAAGCTCACCTTTCAAACATCTGCAGGTTGCTTGGAGAAGGCCATATTTCCTGGAAACTGGCACACGCCCACACACTAGCATGATTATCCACAAGGTATTTAAGATGTGAGTGCACCTGCAAGGGGGGAACATAAAATAATGACTAAAACAAAGGGACCAAGAGAAAAGTAGTTCTTTGGTACTTAGTTTTAGATGGGTAACTAATTAAATGTAAGTCAGTCATAATTCGTTACCTGCCTAATCACCTCTCAGTCAGCCTCAGCTCTGTGCCTGGGAAG